GAAGTAGCATCATCTGGTAAAGTGCTCACATTTCTTCTTTTAAGCATCTGATCATCTTTCTTAGCTTTTCTCAGCTCMACATTGACTTCAATGCGTCGCCTTCTCATTTCCTGGATAATAAAYGTTCAGATTAAGTCTTGGCTTTTGAAAATAATGTTTAAAGAAACAATGGCTGGCTGAAGAACTAAGTGCACCGGAGTACTCACTGTGCTATCCTTTCCTTTGTTCTTGAATCTGTTCAATCGAGCTGACGGTGTATTGGCATTCTCATTAGTAGACATCTTGCGTATTAGACTTTTGCGCGGGACAGATAAAAAYAAGTCTGAAAAGAGAGCAAAGAGACAGCAAATTTACTCCACAAAAGTTAAATTTTAACAATTGGATCAATACTCGAGGATRAGAGCCACTTGCTTGTATCAATACTGTAACAACCTCTGATTTGATCAACACTCGCCTCTTTAAATAGCCAAGCTCTAGCATCAACACAAAAGCAGAAGTCACACTCACAGGATTTTAAGACACATTAAACCAAATACTATTAGTCACTTTTTTAGGAGAAAAGTAGGTTTTCCTTTCCCCAGACAACATACACACATGCTGTTAAGGACTGTTTTCAGTGTGTCACGTACCTGTGCTGCACAGGATCCCACCCCAACCTATTTGGACAAGAACAGCGAGCTCTCGCTCTGAGATCCCCCTGAAGGCGTTTGCCGTGCCGGTGCAGCCAGCAGCACATAACAACGGCTACACGGCTAACGAGGCAAACCCCTGCACCTTGGCCACCCCTAACGTAACCTACTGCATAAGAACCGGCTTCRCTTCGGCCACAAACCCGCCGGAGCGACAGCCCGCCCTAAGATACACCAGCCCTGTCAGCCCCACTGCAGACAGCGGAAACGCGGGAGGCTCCGGAGACAGGCCCCGGCAAGGATTGCCGGCGGGGCACGGCCCTTTCTGACAGGGCAGAGCAGGGCCCGTGTCCCCATCACCCCACACCCGGGTCCCGGTGCCGGTCCCGATCCCAGCCCCGCACCTCGGCCGGGGACTCCGCCGGTCGCTCCGCTGCTGCCGCACGTTGCCACTGCCCACAGCTGCCCCACGCGGCATTTAAATTTCCCGCGGCCGCGCCCTSCCATTGGCCAGTTCGAGCCAAAGCAGCCTTCTGATTGGTCGGTTTGAAAGCAGCCCGGTTCGCGATGACGGGAAACCCCCTCCCAGAAGAGTCAACCGGACGTGATATCTGCACACATCCCGGTACTACAGCTCCCGGCGTGCCTCGCGCGGGTAATGCCGGCAAGCCTGCGTGTGGCGGCGCGGGGCATGCCGGGAGTTGTAGTTCCCGGGGTTCTGCGAGATGCCGGGACAGGAGAGGGAGACCGGGATGGGAGAATTGTGTCTTTGGAGGGGTCACGCTTTGAGTGGTTTGGGGCAGAAAYACCCACACCCTGCCGCAGAGCGCAGATTCTGCCTCAGTAACCGGCAGRGCACCGCAGGCTTCTCCTGGGACAARGGCGTGTAGTGAYRGGATGAGGGGGAATGATTTCAAACCTAAAGAGAGCGATCTTAGATGGGGTATTAGGAAGAAATTCTTCCCTGTGAGGGTGGTGAGGCGCTGGCACAGCTTYCCAGAGATGGCTGCTCCATCCCTGGGAGTGYCCAAGGCGTGGTTGGAYGGGGCTTGGAGCARCTTGGGATAATGGAAAGTGTCCCTGCCCATGGAAGAGGGTGGAACTGGATGAGCTTTAAGGCCTCTTCCAACCATTCTGTGATTCCATGATTMCATCAYGCCCTTATTGTCTCCTAGAMATRTCCWCAGAAATGTAAAGAAAARGGGATATGAGATTGCAGTTGAAAGCAGTTCTACAGCCATTGGGGCAGATGAAAACTAAATCATATGGAAGAACAAAAGAAAAGGGATTCCTGCCTCTGTGRCATGGTCTGAAAAGGGATGGGATCGTTTCCAATGGGTTTGGCCTGCTCATGGGGGATGGAATACAAAAGAACACCGATTTTCACAGGGGATATAATTCAAACCATAAAAACCGTACGGAAATCGTAACTCTGACAGCAACTCTGACATTTCAAGGAACTATAAGGTACAACTCAAAGAAGCATCAGGGATGCACCTCTGTGCTAAGCCATCACATTAAACCATTTACACCAATCTGTAGGTTGCACACGTTTGCTGAGGTGAGGGAATTACCAGTGACATCTCATACAGCTCGTTTTGGGCCTTCCAGTTCTGAGCTTTGTGAAAAAAAACCCACAGAAAACAAGAAGAGAAAACACATTACTGACAAATGGAGATATTTAACAGGACTAGATCGACAGAAAACAAGGCAGTTCACAAGCAGAAATTGAGGTAAAACACCTGCTCTCCTGAAGGATCGAAGGGTTGGCATGAAGAAATTCCACTGCRTCATGAATCGCTGGCAGTGCATGATCTGGAGCAGTGAAATCTGGGCGCAAGGATGGGTGTTGAGGGCAGGGAGAGGGCTGGCAGTGCCTGGGACCCCTGAGGRGCTGTGTGCGAGGTGCTGCAGGTGGTGTGGGCTCTGAGGGAGSTGACAGCTCCAAAGGCTGTTACCAGCAAAGCAAAGCGATGGAGAGGTGAAGAGAAACTGGACAGTTGGGGCAGGACTGCAGCCAGGCTGACGCTGAGGTTATGGGGCAGCGGATGGTGTGTCTGAGGCAGTAAAAAAGGCCGTGAGGGGTCACAAAGTTCTGAAGGTCTCTTGAGGGAAGAAGGCCGAATGTGGAGCCGCCGGGACTGGATGGAGTTACCGGCTGCAGCACAGGAGCCACGGCCGGGCCCGTGAGGGGAAGTTTAAAGATGCAGGACAGGGAGGCGGCGGTGCCCAAATGTCCCCTGAGGACGGGCTGAGAGTGACCCACCGGCACAGAGAGCGGGAATCCCTCCTGAGGCGCGGGCGGGGCCGCGGGCACGCGCTGCGGGGCGGAGCCTGGCGGAGCCGCAGCCAATGGCGTGTGAGGAGGGACGGGCGGGGCCCGCCCACCGCGAGAGCGGAGAACATGACAGCCCGCGGGGGGGCGGGGCCAGCGCCGGCCGGGCGGGGCTCTTACCAGGCGGCGCGCGCAGCCTCCGCTGGGTGACCCAGTGGCCTAATGGATAAGGCATCAGCCTCCGGAGCTGGGGATTGTGGGTTCGAGTCCCATCTGGGTCGTGCCGTATGTTTTGTGGCCCTGTCGTGCGTGGTTCCGCGGGGTCGTGTCCCCCCAATTCTTTTACCCGCGAGCACCGTCCTTTTCCCCGGCACCGTGTACCCCTGGAGCCGCCGCCACCTTCATGCAACTCGTGGGAGTTCTGCGAGGGGTTCCTCTCCACTCCTCCGGGAACACCCGGGCTCGGACGTGGTCACAGCGCTGTCGGTCCCTGCTTTGCCCAGCCCCTCTTGGAAAGCTGTTCCATCTCCACTGCTGGAGCATCCTGGGGCTGCTGGAATGTTGGGAACACTGCAAACATGGCTCCTATGCTCTTAAGGGAGATTCTGTTCCAGTAAAGAGTCTGGGGAAATAATGCAGACACAGCCGTTCATGAATGAGGGCTGAAATAAACCACCAGTAGGTTTTCAGCAGAAAAATCCCTGGAGTATAGGTCTGTGGGACACTCACATGTGTATCCATCCATCCCTATCCATCCATCCATCCATCCATCCATCCATCCGTCCATCCATCCATCCATCCATCCATCCATCCATCCATCCATCCATCCATCCATCCATCCATCCATCCATCCATCCCTCCATCCATCCATCCATCCCTCCCTCCATCCATCCATCCCTCCATCCATCCATCCATCCCTCCATCCATCCATCCATCCATCCATCCCTCCATCCATCCATCCATCCATCCATCCATCCATCCATCCATCCATCCATCCATCCATCCATCCATCCATCCATCCATCCATCCATCCTCCCTCCCCAGTGCAAGCACTCTCACTCCATCTTCTCTCTCTTGCTGCAGGTACCTGCTGGTCACAAAAGGAATGTAGGACCTCTCCTCTCCCTCATCCTCAGTTTACTTTCCTATTCCCACAATAGCTATCTTGGGATACTTCTGGAATTAAAATGTTTAAAATAACAGAGGAAAACAGGGTTTAATAAGTGCTGCAGTAGAAGTGCAACTCCTTGAGTAATGCATGTGTGAAGAAATGTCATTTATTTTCCATACTGGTTAATTTTCTGTATCTTCACCATCACTGCTGGAGACAAAGCCCTGAGCTTTTAGGAATCCCATTAAAATGCTTAATTAAGGCAGGACAAAACAAACTGCTTACACTAAACAAAACCGAATCCCATGCCACAGGCATTGCTGAGGGTTAGATTTTCTGTCGAGGGTGGGCTTCAGGAGCTTTTCAGTGCCTTTGTGGAGTTTTTGAGTTGTTCATTGTCCCTTAGAGTCATGAGCAACTTCCACAGCACCCGACAGCAGCTGATGAGTTAAATTGTCACAATGGAAATCTTGTGTAGCAATAAGGTCACTTAGAAATAAGCCTTCTTAATTCAATAATCCAAATCAGGGTTGGCCTGGTGTGTGAAAATTTACAGAGTTCTTCATGTTGGCAAAAAGAGATTTAAAAATAAAGCTGTRTGGGATCAGCAGAGCTTTTCCTTGCACAGGACTGAAAGGAATCACTGAAACTGGTTCCTTAAWCTAAAAGAGGAGATTGGAGGTGGCCAGAAATCCCCAGATATATTCCGTTGTCATGAACATCCTTTTCAGACCCTGCACCCCAGGGGTTTGGGCTGTTCCAACATCTCCCAATTCCCCTTCAGAATGCAACTCCCCACAACCAGGAAAACCAGACTCGTTCCCTACGATTTTTTTCTCTGCAGAGCACCATCGGAGARCAAAATAAAAACGAAACAAAACTCTGCTGCCAAAACCATCAGTGGGTGTGTTATTCCCAGGACACAGGTGATGCAGGCAGTGGGTTGTGTCCCCATGGGAAGGAGCACATTCCTGGCTGGCAGYGCTGGTGGAGGCAGCAGCTTGGTCTTGCTCCAGTGGGTTGTCCAGAGAGTGATTCCCGTTTCCCCTCARGCTGCCTCTCATTAGCATGAATCGGGGGAAGGGCATAAAAGACTCCGGTTCGTTTTGAGTCTGGAAAAACTTCACTCCGAAATGACAACCCGAGTGTTGTGGCTCCTCTGCTTTGTCATTAGATCATCTTCTGGTGAGTCTGATATCTTTGAGTGGGGCTGGGCACGTCTGCCTTGGGAACCAGGGGAGGATAAAGATATTCCTACAGATTCTTGCCTGAGCAGCCCCTCGGGCTGTAGCTTTTCCAGCAAGTGAGGGCTCCAGAAAGAAATATCTCAACATGTTTGTGGGATGGGAATGTAAATTGCAATATTGAATTTGTCAGCACTGGGAAGAATGAAGAGCACCTGGCAGAAGCTGCTGCCACCCATCAGTGGCAGGTGAAGCTGGATTGGCTTTGTTTTTGGGATTTTTATAATTTGCTTGTCCCCTGTCTCTTTTAGTCCCCTTCACCTGTAACTCCAGGTGTGTGACTGACTGCAGCATGCTCAGAGTGCCCTGTGAGCCTCCAAAGCTGTCCTGAGTGCATTTATTCAGGTTTTACTGCCTCACCGACAGAACAGAAACAGCATTTGCATCTGTTCTGCCGGGAATTGGTTCTGTTGCAGTTGCATTTCTTAGGTTTCAACAACTASACAGCAAAATGCTGGTATGGGAGGAGGAACCTCAAGGTCCTGAACAGATTGAGTGGAGAAAAATGAACCATTTCTTGATAGAATCCGTGWCTGAGAAGGCGTGATAAAGTGGCAGAAGGGTTTATTTACACACCCAACTCCGAGACACCTGTTCAGAGGGCACAGCTTCACACTGAACCATCTCCAAACCCCCCTTGCCTGCTGCTTTCTGCAGCTTGGACTTCTTCCACCCCGCTCTCCATGGACATTCTTTTGACTTTACGTGTGGCCAGCCCAAATATCAGGGAATCTTTCCCATGACAGCAGCTGGTGAGAGCACAGGGGGAGAAGTGGCAAGGTCAGCAGTTGAGTCAGTGGCAGGAGATAAAGCAGCACGCTGTTCATCTGCGTGTGTCAAATCTCTCTTTTCACACACGGGGCTGGGATCAGCCTCCTACACGGAATATCCATGGCTGTGAACACAGACAGAGGCTGTGTGTGGGTGAGCTGTGTGAAAACTCTGCTGGCTCGCTCCAGGCATGCAGGGATGGGCTCAAGGAAAAGGAAAATCGTCTGCCAGGGGAAATTTCTGTCTTTCCGTGCTAAACAGAGGTCATTTTGCTTTATGAGATCCAAGGGATGAAGGTGAGGTATAAATGAATATGTAGGTGACTGCCCAGTTTGTGTGAACAGTGCCATAATATTATTTTTTCACTGGATTCCCAGATAATTCCTCTCTTTCTCATCCTTTGTCCTCTCAAATTAAGGAAAGCCTTGAAATAATTGTTAATCAGCAGCATTAGCCTAATTTCTGTTACTATACACTCCATAGTGCACAAGTCAGAGATACAAAACTGTGGGTAAAGACCTTTCCAGCAGCATCCAAAGGCATGGAAAGTCTGGATGACACTGTCAATAGGCATCCCATGGATGGGAAAACCAAATAGTTCWGCTGTCATGGTCTTTTAAACAAGCATCCCAAATGGCAACGTGAACCTTGTTTCCTCAGAGTCTCCCTGGAGATTYAGGGGTTTGAGGAAAGGGTTTGTTTTTAATTTGTAACAATAATAAAGTAAAAATGCAAATCTCCTGTTTTGCTCACACAGCTGCATCCCCTGTGCTGGGCTTTCCATGTTTGAGGACAGAGCAGTGAGGAGCTCTASCCTGGTTCATCTGCTGAGCTATTTAGCAGTTTTTTGTCTTGTTACTGAAGGCCTCACTTTTGGACCAAAGCCTCAAATCTTCCCATCCTGAAACACGTGGAATAAAAGACTTCAAACACTGATTTTCTCTCTCCTTTTTTGCGTGCAGGATCCCTTCCCTATGCTGAGAAACCCAGCCAGGCTCTCAGCAAAGATGTTTTTAGCTCAGCAGCTGCTGCTCACAGCCAGGTGAAAGYGCCAGCCCGGGGCACGGGCAGTGCCAGTGGGAATTCCAGGGAAYTCCAGCTCCTGGCAATGCCAAAGCCCCCGGGAATCTCCTCCCTCGTGTCGGACAAGAAGAAACGCRCTGAGCTTTCCCTGGAAAACAGCACCGGGCTGAGGAAGCAGCTCCAGCAGCACGGAGGGGTGGTGGAACTGCAGAGCCCGGGCGAGGGGGGCTCTCCTGCTGTCCCAGAGTCCGGCCAGGAGAACAGGAGGCACACGGACCGGCGGCTGGCCGAGGCTGCCAACAGCGTCTGGGCTCGCTCCCTGCACCTCRCACCTGCCCAGACAAAGGTGCTGGCCCTGCTGGAAGCTCATCCTTCACAAAATGATCCCAGCACGCTGCACCTCTTCAACCGGCCAGGGAAGGCAATGCCCTACAAACAGCCCGAGCCCTTTGTGAGGATCCCCAAACCCTCGTGGCTCACCAACCGCTGGGCACCCGGCTCCGTGTCCCAGGGAGTGCCCAGGGCAGGTAAGGGACAGGGCTGGACTGCCCAAAGGCTGGGGCACAGGGGATGAACATCCCCCAAGGCCCGTGCTGTCCTCGCTCTGTGTTCCTGTCCTAGGTGGGGACCAGGACAAGGCGTGTCTGAGCGAGTGCAGGAAGGAGCGCGATGAGGAGGAGGCTTTCTGTGCCAGTGAGTTTGGTAGGTGGTGTGCCCTCAACCCCCAGGGACAGAGCACCTTCTGTTCCTCTGTCATTGCTTTGAAAATACCATGATTAACATACATAAAATAATTACCAACTGCTCCAAAGGGACCCATCACAGCTCTCCATAAACTCACATTACCCTTTTCCCTACCTTGGGAAGTGCTGCTCCTTTTTCTGCTCCCTCTACTTTCCATTCCTGGAGGAACAGTGTCCTTGGAACTGGTCAATGGAACTGAAAAGACCAACTATTTCAGATAGTCTCAGATTAAACATTGCAGCTGGGTCATTTATCTCTTACTATTTAGAGTAAGTTTGATTCTGAGGGTTGAAGTTTGAAATGAAAATAAAATGGAGAACCAAACAGAAATAAGACTCTGATCCCCTCTCTAGAGAGGATTCTTCTTGAAGTTCCTCAGGATTCAGGGTCTTTAGTCCTTGTGTCCATGCTGATGTAACTCAAGATGGCAGGAAACAGCCTGGTATTTTTGTACAGACTGTTTAAGGACAAGAGTTTTCTGACTGAAACCCTGCCTTGTGCTCAGTTGTGAGTTGTGAAACAGATACCAACTTTTTCTCACAGTATTTTAAGAGATAAGGAAAATACAAGCCCAGTGGTAACAGATGTTTCCATTTGTAGAACATAAACACGTTAGGAGACATCTGTTTTCTCTAAATGGAGAACTCAGGAAGTGCTTTCTACAAATGCTGTCCTGCTTTGGTTTTCACCACTCTCATGCATTCCTGTCCACTGTGGGCTTCACAGTGACCCGACCTCTGTGTGTTTTAGCCCTTAACCAGCAGCAGCCTCGTTCTGCTCCTAAATTGAAAAGACAGGTAGGAAAAGGTCTGRGCAACAGATCCTTTCTTTACATTTACTGTAGAGATGAAAGGATAAATRACTGAATCAGAGTTCTCCCCCAGGCAGGTGTCACAGCCCCACTAACATGGTGATGTTTTCCCATCCCTGCACTCAGCTCAGCGCTGGCCAGAGCCACAAACTGGGAGAGATCAGCATCAAGTGATYGTCTGAGCTCCCAACACAACCTCTYGTCTCTTGGTATGACAGGRGCCTTTTATTTCAAAAGCCAGTGTTTGATTACCAGCTTGGCTTCGTGCTTCGTTGGGAAGTTTTAAATTTGGAAATTTTACTCTGTTAGGTAAATATRTCCACTTTTTATGTATCAGGATAGAAAACGGTGCTTTCTTCACGAAGAAACATCTCAGACCTGTAAAGCACAAGGTTTGCAGAGCAGCAAAACTTCAGGCCATGACCTCATAAATGTGATTATTTGAACCAATTCTTACTGCCCACTCATGAGCCAAAGGATTCCTGCTGCCATTCCCTTGGGAGCATTTTAAATGACAGCCCTTCACACACACCCTGAACTGCCACCATGACATAAAATCTGACCCTTTCTTTTTTTTTTCTCCACCTTAAAACAGCAGTGAATGGAATTGTTTATAACCTGGAAAGCCTGGGGAATGGARTCCACTGGGTCACCCTCTTGGTGGATGTGGATGGATTGTACAAAATGAGTCGCCTGTATGTCACTCCTGACGCCGCCTTCTTCCGAGTTCACATCCTCGTTGTGGACACTTTAAACTGCAGCAAACCGTGTCCAGACTTTAAACTCGGTAAATCATTCCAGCTAAATCCATTCTGCTGTTCCTCTGCATGCACTGCAATCTTAGGCTGCCCTGCTTTAATAAGCTTATCCTGGGTTGTTGGGAAAATTTGGAAGAAAAGTAATTACTCAAAGTGGAGGCCTTTTTTCCATCCAAGTTTCTCAAAACTGTCACTAGCGAACCAGCTGCATGAAGAAGTCAGGTATCAGCGTAGCCCTTTCTTRACTTTATCCAGTTCCAAAATGACGGCAAATTTTAAAAAAATACAAGCAGGAACTTAAGCTGGTGTCTTTTTAAGTAGCTCAGTTTTCCTTCTAAGTACAAGTTTATCAAATACCAGCTTTTTTCCAACAGTAAATCATCATTTCCATGCCACCCATGGGTCCCTGCAGAGCTCAGGGCGCCGCTGTAGAAGCCCCACGTTCTGGATGTTTCCACGGGCACAACTTCCCATCCATTCCCATCCCCGGTGCTCTTGCAGTGCCCCCTCATTCCCTGTGGCTCACAGCCCCGTTGTTTTGTGTTTGTTTGCTTGTTGCAGGCAGCAGGTACATCGTGATGGGGCACATCTACCACAAGCGTTGGCAGGTACCCACTGAGCTGCTGCCAGCCCTGCGCGGGCGCCTGCGGCCTGGGGACGGCTGGCTGGGGAGCAGCGGCAGCTAYGCCAGGAGATTCAACAGGAAAAGGGACCTCAGGGTGCGGGCAGCACGCTCCAAGTGTCCCTAAATCTCCAGGAGCTCCGTCCAGGATGTGGGAGCAGCKGGATCACCCTCAGAGCACACCTGGCTCCCGCCTGGAAACGCCATCCAACAGCGGCTCTTGTGCTTCAGCAAACGCTGGGTGCCTTGCCCGGGAGCTCAGCACAGGCTGGGCAGCCTTAACTGGCCAGGAATTTACTCCAGCTGCTTTCAGAGCCGCAGGTTGTTGTAGCTACAGGTTATTGTAGCTGCAGGTTGTTGTAGCTTCCCCCGCTGCAGCGCGCCCCAACAATCTGTAGTAACCGTAACGCAAAATTCCGGCAGCTCCGCGCTCAGTACACAACAACTGCACTTTGAACTCTTCACCTTGAACACATCAGATGATAGCGCAGCTTTATCCACACAGGATGTTCACTGTGCTTTCACAGCTCTGCCTAAAGTATCACATGCATTCGATTTCAGRGAAACCAACAGCACTAAGCACCATTTGTATTATTTTTGCCTCCTCAACCGTGTCCATGCTACTTCTGAAAATTACACCATTCTTCCAGCAGAGCTGGAGGTTCACACAGAGCATACAGAATAGAGTGAAATAATTTGAGTRTATGAACACGCTGACTGAAAGCAAATCAAGAATTGCACAACACAAATGCCCAGTTGGGTTCACAAGTGAYGGCGCAGGGAATGCAAAATGAGCAGGGGCTGCACACACTGGGCGTGCCTGGGTACACTGACACCTCATCCCAGAGCTGTGCTGAATGCCATTCCCCAGGAGAAACACTGCCAAGCTTGGACTTGCACTTCTTAAATCAAAAAGATAATSTTTTAGTACCTTTAATGAGGTGGAATTGAGATGTTTGTTGTTTCCAGTCAGCATTTGCAGGTAATAAGTCTGTAAAAGAAACTAATAAAATGTTCATGAGGTTCTGCTTTCACTGGGTCTCCTGGGTTCTGGAAGACCCAAAACGCTTATGTAATGATATTACACAAAGGYATCTCCTTGTTTGACAAGTTGGCTGGGGATTTGATACATATTTATATCACAAAATGTAAAAAATGCAGTACAGCTCRAACCACACATATACAGTGATATCATGTGACCTGCCACAGGGAGCAGTGGCTTCTATAGAAGCATTTTCTGTTTTGAAACAAAGGTATTTCTGAMACTGCATTTGTTCCACCTCTGCAGCTTGATTTAATGTCCCTGAAAAGCCACGGAGCAGGGGATGGGATGGGCCACGCTGCTTCAAGTATTTCTTGATATGGAGCCAAATACCAAGAGCAAACATCCCGTTTGGGACCCAAAAGGCTCTTACTGGAGGACAGAAATGATGAATCCACCTAAAAAATAGTCTCACTTTTGCTGTGAGAAAGACTTTGCATGGAGCACAGCATGGATTGATGGAATTTTCCTTAGAGAATCTGAGGGGGTTTTGATTTGGCAGAAGGACTGTTCTGGCAACAAATCAAAGCTCCGGAGTGACTGGGAGGGACAGGAGGAAGGGTTCCATGTRCATCTCCAGTTTCTTTGTTTCTATTTTCAGGGTAAGCCCAGGGACTAATCAGTAACTCCTCYAGGCATCCCCCTGCCCAGAGCAGCAGCCAAGCCCCATTCCTGTTATCCTGATCCAAGCCAGGGAAGAGGAGGCACAAACCCAACATGGATGTCCCTGTGACTGTGCCTGGGAGGAGACAAGCACAGGACACCAGAGCTAAAGCCATCCCAAACCCGAGTTCAGTGCCAAGAACTGACACAAACCTCTGGGACACAGATGCTGCTCTGGCAGCCTGAAAAGYGATTTATCCCATATTCTGTTTCTGTGTTACCAAGTCCCTGTCTGTCACAGCCCCACTGATGGGCTGGAGCAGGAGCAGGACTGGTGTCACATTAAACACACCTCATTAAACATCCCACACTAAACACACCTCCTGAACAACAATTCCTAGATCCAGTGGATTTCCAGTCTTGCACTTGCKATTCCAAAACCCTCCCAGCAATAACCACACTCACGTTCAACAGCTGCCATGGTAGTTTTGGTACCTCACAGTGAGTAATTTTCTTCTCAGAAGGGTAAGTGTGAAAATTCTGCAGCCACCACACAGAAATCCGGGTGTACAGGAATAACTGTTGTCATCCCATCTGTCCAGGGGTTTACTCGAGGCTTTTGGGTAAGCCTGACTTCTTACTGTACTTTCAACTCCATTAATTTCTGCATGAACTAAATTGAGATTGAGGACAATTCCTTCAAATTTGAGGACACAGAAAATCAAACTGGCACAGCTCATGTTATCAATATCTCTTAGAACATATGACCATTTCAAAACAACTGTTGCAGTAATTTATAAAATACAAAGAGGATGAGGACTGAGCAGAGATCACAAACCTTATGAACTTTATGCCTTAGGTCAGGGGGGAATTAACCACAAGTGATTTATTTTCAGTAACACCATTTAACTATAAAGCATCACCACTAATAAATCCAGAGAAGTACCTCGACCTGCTCAATGAAAATTGAACACACTGAAACAGGCTCTCATAGAATCACAGAATGGTTTGGGTTGGATAATTAATCAGCAGCATTAAATTGCATGTATGACTTCCCTAATCAACCCGATTTACAGTTGCACATGATCTGGCAAAGCCAGGACCTACATCCAATAATATTGTCAAATGTTTCATTAGAAACACCACCAAATCCATGTCAAACACATTACTTTATTTGTCTAGGATGATGTGTCCTATAAGGTACAAAAAAGTACTCTTCAGTTTGCCACAATTTGTTAAAAACAGCAATCTATTGCCTAACAGGTAGGAAAGGTTCAAATCATGTCAATATGGATTTAGGTATGAATAAATAGTACAGAAATGCTGAGAAGCTGGGATGAGATGCAGGATATGTCCCAGTGCTGTTAGAGGTGAGATTTTTCCTTGTTGCATTAAAACACAATGCTTACAATATGCAGCATTTTTTTTTAAACGTCAAAGGACAACATAACCTAAATGCAACTACTCCTCTTTGACTTTCAGAAGCATAAATGGATTATTGTTTCCACACTGAACAATTAGTAATTTTCACAGATAGGTTAAATGACAACATTTGTATGTACAAAAAAAACACACGAGTTTTTAGTAGATAAAATCCCCCCAGAAGAACCTGAACACCTGAGCTGGAAGTGTAAGAAAGGGTGGTGAGTAGCAACATCTTTTTAAGAAAAATAACAGAGGAGGTTCTTGCATAGCAAGGTGTGAGGTTAAACCCAAAAGGAGYTTATCCATAAATCAGGTAAATCCCAGACCACTGTAGAGCAGAAGCTGACTGTGAATTAGTGCAAAAGCTGGTCAGGTGGGTGAGGAGCTGCACAGGAACCAGGGCTGGCAACTACAGACAGGGACCAGAGCAAATCAGTCCCACMCAGCCAAGGAAAAACCTCCTCATCTGCAATTTGATCGTGTTGGGCTCCAGTTCATCCCTCGGGCAGTGCTGCTCCCGCAGGAAACACTGGGACAGCTCCCAGGGACAGTTACAGGTGGAACTCCACATTCCCAGAGCACTTGGCACAGATCACCTCACAAACACCTCTTGGCACCACCATGGGAGTGTTTTATCAGGATAACAGGGTGGGAACATGGTCAGGTCCCTATTGCCACCCCTATTCCTTGCAAACCCTGCAGTCCTGCACAAATCCCCCAATGTCACACACACGTGGCAGCAAACACACCTACGGCTGTGGGGAGAACAATGATCTCCATTTATTTCATTTCATATACATCCATATTTTGAATTTTAATACAAAAGAAAAAAAAAATTAGAATCTGACAAATGTTTACAAACAAGATACCTTCAAATAGATTTTACTCAGTTCAGTCTGGTGCAGAGTAAATGACAAATTGTACTGTTTGTTATATTCAAGGCAACAGAGTCTGTAGTCCGTGACCACTCAGCCCAACTTTTATGCAAGCTTGTTTTTATCTACCATGAATGATAAAACTCCTTGTTGATTCCCAGTCCTGTGTGTGTGCACATGTGTACATAGCAGCTCCTTTCATAGAAAGAAAAGACATCTAGAGGTCTTCTTGTACTTTTACCTACAGGAATCATGTTAAGATACAGAATGGATTACATGGAACYGGGGCTGGATTTTATAAGAAAAAATAATTAGCTGACAAATGAGGGCAGCAATAAAAAAGCGTCTTTTTTGCAACAATAAATAAATACAGTCAAAGTTTTCTGTGTGGACTTTAAACCAGCTTCTTCACTGAAGAACAGACGTGGCATTTCCATGGAGTTAAACGTGACCCCATTTACTGTATCTTTTTTCTTGCTCTCTTTCTCTCTCTCCTTCAACAAAACAAAGTTTTCCTGCTTCTGCCACAATAGTACAACAATTTGATCTTGACAAGAAAGTGGTGCTGCTGATTTTTATTTCTTTGTCCTTTGGACAAAATAAGCCAAGAATATAATTTGACTGTTGTGACCAATAAAAACGCAGTTTACATCAAGTCTTGTCAGGATAACCTGACTAAAAACATCTGGCTCCTTAATTAAAAAYTGTCAGACAACCAGATCCTTGCTTGTGTGTTTGGTTAACACGCTGAACTCTAAGAAGCTGTAGACTGCAGTTTGTTGTTATGGGACCTGCAGAATACAGAAGAAAGTGAAGAATTAAGCACCCTTCAATTTGGAGAACACAGTTGCTGCAAGGTGTTGCCAAAAATAAATCACAATGAGGGAATTACCATCATGTTGCTTTCATTTATTATTTATCCCCTTCAGAAAAAAAGAATGCTTAAAATAATTCTCACTCTGAATTTTAAGCCCATTTTCTCCTCCAGAATACAAATATTGCAGTACTTGTAAAATGCAGTGTGTCACTGAAATATTCCAAAATGCCTGAAATCAGTTTTACTCACGTATTTACATAATAGTAGTCCATCAAAGGGAAAGCAAAAAGACATTTTTAGTTGTAAATATTTATAATAAGGTCTACTTTGCTTAAATTTATTCAAGAAGTCTTTGGATTAACTTAATAGAAAAAAAAAAAAAACTGAACAGGCATGTTAAAATCACATTTTTGCTAAGCAGAGTTCAGCAAAACTCCTCTTTGACATTCACAGTTTTATTAGTGACTTAAACTAAAACAACAAAATACAAGGTTTCCACGATGAACTTTTCATTTTTTCTCAGTACAGTATTTGAGGAACGGAACAATTTTTTGTTAACAGTTATGTTCACCAGCATGACTGCTGGCAACAAAAACAACATTTATTTTTTAGACAAATGATCTGGATTTTTAGGGCAGTTTAATGTCATTGAATTGTACAATAAAAGAAAGTGACCCCAACATCCAGTTCTGATTCCAGTTAAAAAGTTCAGACTAAAGATATCACAATCTGCAAGAAAAGAAAGAAGACGGATGGTATAAATGAAAAACAATAACAAATAAGATGCAGCAATGAAATCAGTGTGTGCTGGGGACCCAGCTAATGGCAGTGACAGAAACATGGGTTGAAAACYACCTGATCAGAATTATTACACTACTGAACTGGAAAGAAAAATGCATTTTCTTTTTCAAAAATGTCTATGTAAGGGCAACACTCTCCATCAGCCCTTCCTCAGAAAAAAAAAAATTAAAAAGAAAGTTTAATTTTAAAAGGTAAATTTTTAATTATGTTTCATTTTCTGTACTCTACTTTAAATCTTACTTACTCCCTCTGTTTCAAAGGTGGTAAGTTATAAAAAGATGAGAGGAGTAACACTAAAGTATTTTAATTTCTTCCAGTGGATTATCAGCTTCACAGCAGGATTGTCATTTATTAGCATCAGAAGTGTTTACTGCAAGTAGAAAATYAGCAGAACTCAAAGTATTTGTCCTGATCAGAAATTAATAAGTTTTCTGCAGCAATGAGCTGAAGTATCATTCAAATTTTGCAAATTTATGATACCACCCAAAYTTTTAACAACTCCTTTTGAATAAACACCCCAAAGTAACCTCCACAAAATCATATTTAAGCCTTAATTTCAACAAAATTTTCCAGGAAAGTGCATGGAGCAGCAAATCCCTGCATGAAAGCAAGATAAGCTCAGAA